TCGGGGGTTTAAATGGAGAGAAAATGTTTTGAGAAACGATGTACAAATGCGCTTTACACAATTGATGTGTGTATGGATTGGGATAACAGTTGTATGAGGCCCTAATAAAATGTTAAAAAAGAAAAAAAAAAGTTGAAAGCATGCAAAACAAGCCTGTTGTCGATGGAAAGAGTCAAATGTAGGGGTCATATAAAAATGTGGAGGAAAAGGGTAAACACCAAATTCAGGAGAACAGTTGTTTCTGGGGAGGAAGCAAAGGAAGTGAGGTTGATCAGGGGAGAAGGGCACAGGAGGCTCCGACTAAAGAAACATTGTGGGAGATATTCCACTATCTCTTGATTCCACTTGTCATCAAACTTTTGAAGCTCCATCGTGTGTGACTGAAGCAGAACTAGGTGTTAGGCACATAGTGTCCTGCATATTATTTCTTATGCATTTCTATTACTTCCTTGGGTGCTTTACATATTTTATAACTTCCGAAAGAAAACTAAAGGTGTAATAGATTCATGTGTAGCACTACAGAATAATATCCAAAGTGTTTTCTGTTTTGCTTTTTTCACATTTTTATTTCTATGAAAGTAATACTCACTACTCTGTACATATTCTTTACATCTGAACTAGAAAATAGGCTATGATCACTTGACTTTTATTTCCTTTCATTCCCTCTTTAAAATACTACATATACTCGAGTATAAGCTGACCCGAATATCAGCCAAGGCACCCAATTTTACCACAAAAACTAGAGAGAAGATGTGCTGAAATGTAACTGAGGAATTACTGAAACCCAAATGAAGGCTGAGCATGATAGTGGGACAAAAGGAAAGTCAAAGGAAATAAAGGCAAGAACTAGGAGGCAAAGGGTATTTATAGAGGTCTAAATATAGGCATGTATGTATGTAAATATATTTATATGGGATGATGGGGAAATAGGTCTATGTGCATATATTTATAGGTTTAGTATTAAGGTAACAGATGGACATTGGGCCTCCACTCAAGTACTTCCTCAATGCAAGAACATGCTGTTCTATTAAATTGACATTCCATGATGCTCACCTTCCCCACACAATCGCTGAAGACAAATGTGTGCATAAGCAAAGGTGGTGAAGAAAGCTCATGGTGCCCGGCTATCAAAAGATAGAGCATCTGGGGTCTTAAAGGCTTGAAGGTAAACAAGTGGCCATCTAGTTCAGAAGCAACAAAGCCCACATGGAAGAAGCACATCATCCTGTTTGATCACGAGGTGTCAAAGGGAT